CTCTTTTAACGAACATCGTTAAAATCGACAATGCAAACGAGATTCTCATTGGCATTCATATGCAGACACTACATTTGCGCTCGCAATTGATATATGTGTGTATGTGTGTATACACGTACACATTCAGCATGCACATCAGTCGCCTACATACCAATGCATTTCGCTTCGTTTCAAGCAACTCAACGAAACGGTCGGGGAACAAAGAGAACGAAACGAGCCGATCGCCAAAGAGTTTATCAAAGCAGCGAAGCAATCGGCAGCTCTCTCAGTTTTTTCTCAGAGTATGAGTGAAAGGCACTTATTTGCAGACATCGACAAACGGATGTTAATTGCGATGTATGTGTGTATGAGTAGAAAAGAGAAAGACATAGAGATATGTAGCTTTAAGACATACAAATGTATGTACCTGTACATTTGGGTGTAATAACGTACTCATAGCTTATTTTAACCAGCAAAAAAAACAAAATTTGTATGTACGTACATGCATACATGAATAAAAACGAAACTAAAATATATATCAACAAAATTAATGACAATTGCTATATTTTTCATATTAGTTAATTTGTTAAAATTGTTAAAATAATTTTATAATAATTGAAAATCCTAAAATGAACAAAAAAATAATGTAACTAAAGTGTGTAATAAATAAATAAAGTGAAATAACTTTAATTAGATTAATTTGAATTGCCATAAAATTGTAGCTGACACTGAAATTTCTTGCCAGCTGCTGCCATTCGCTCACTCTTTCTCTCTCTCTCTCTCCTTTCCTGCTCTCTGCTTTGCCTATTCAAGATGCCAGAAGTTCGTCCAGACAATTGTCTGTCAAACTGTTGTCGTGATAGGATTTTAAGTCCTAAATTTGGCAGTCTTTTTTTTAGCAATACGAATATGCAAATTGTGGCGAGGCTAGGCCAGGCGACAAGTTGTGTCAGGTGCGACTGTCGTGGCGGCGGTTCATTAAACTGGCGCTGCCCGTGCAATGTGCAGCACTTAATTAGCCAGCTGTGTGTGTGTGTGTGTGTGCGTGTGCGTGGGATGCTCTGACGAAAGTTTAATGAACTTGCTGGGCGTGAAACTATGGGCGTGTGGACGCGCCCATGGTGGTAAAATCAAAACGTGAGGCGCTAGGACACGCCCCTAGGCGTCTGCACAAATTAGTTACAGAAGCAAAGGCGCAAAAAGGATATGCGCAAGTGGTCAACAATTATGAGGGAAGGCGGCGGAGCGGAGGGGCAGCCAGACACGGGCCAAGGCAAAGTGGCAGCAGCTGCCGCTGCTTGCTGCTGCAAAGGACCTCAATGAATGACATTTAATTATTTCATCAAGAAAGCAAATAGCCCAAGGAGCAAACAATCAACTTCTGCCCAGCATTAGGCATTGGCATATTTTTCTCTTTCGTCCCTTTTCTTATTACATTGTTTGTGATGCGAGCCCACATTATGCTGTTAGCCGACTCAGCCATCATTCGCATCCGAATCAGCCCAGAGCCTAGCCGGGCAGCAGGACAAAATATTTTCGCTTTTGGCCTGTGCCCAAGGATGCTCGACACCCAAATTGTTTGCGATTCATGGAATTAAGGCTGCGCACAGAAGCACATCAAAAGCATCATAAGAAAAGAGAGTTAATTCCTGGACGCAGATCTTTTATAAGCGGCTAAACTTGCTGCAGCTGTCTGTTGTCCGTTGTCTGCTGGCTGGCCGAGCATCGAGTTGTATAATATTAGATGAATTCATTAATAACTCGAGAGACGAGATGCTCACCGGCTAGACATCTCGAGACCTACTTGACCAGGTCTTGACCCGGCCCCAACGCAACAGTGTTTCAAATTATTATAAAAAAGAAATACAAAATTAATTAAAATTTATTTAATACATTTAAAACCAATTCATCAGCTTAAAAAAAAAAATAAATAAATTAAATAAGAATATTAATTTAAATATTCTGTATTCCATGTTTAGATTCATTTGTAAACAGTAAAAAAAAAAAAAGAAATTTTTTGTTTAAATAAAAATTTGTTATTATATTTTTATTATCCTTGCCAATTGATTTAAGCTTCAGCAATAATATGAAGTTCTGTTATCCTTAGTAAGTTACAAATTTTGTTGAACAAAATTGAAATGAATCAAGATCATGGAATACAGATCTTTTTACCCTTTCCACTCATTCTATATCCATTCACTTACCCATCCATGATTTATTCCATCTTTTGTTTGTATACTGACTTACCGAAACCATAATCAATTTGCAGCAGAGCCTCAAGTCTTCCCTTAATTAGCTCTGGTTACAATTAGCTAGAAGTTCGTCGCCAAGTAGCTTTCAGCTCTTGCTTTCGTTCAGTTCTTAAGTTCTTATCACGTCGTATCATCCATCAACTCGCCAACTAATTATGCAACATGACAATCAAACTAGAAAAATAGAAGACAAAAGGCAGAAGAAGAGCCGACAGAGTGAAGCCTGTGCAGGACAAAGGACATGTTCGAGGAGGCCGAAGGGCAGCAGCTATCGGACCTCGCGACGCTGCTGTCTCTGACAATTACGCAAATTGTTGTTGTCATTATGTAAACACTTGTTTATGTCAAATTTGACATTTGATACGAGCCGCAGACGGGACACGCTGTACATGTGTGTGTGTGTGGCACACACACAGACATATTTGAAGCGATTTTCGCAGAGGCCAAGACAAAGGCCTGGCTGGCTGGCTGTCAAAGGACAGGTGCGCTTGGACATGTCCACGTTACACTTGATTAAGTAGGCGCTGAGTTCGACGAAATGGTTTTTAGATGGCGCCCACTCGACAGCCTCTGCTGGCCGTCCAGGTGGAAGAGCGACCGTTGATCGGGTCACAGGACGTGCCAAATTATTGACGGCGTGACGCCAGTTTGCCTCGCAACGTGTACTCACAGTGTTTGCCCTCTGACTGCCTGGGCGGTGGGTTGATTAATTAGAAGCCACAGCCAACGGGCTAACAGCCATGCTGTCGACCTTCCTGCTTTGCGCTCACATCCTTCCCTTCTGCCTTCGCGCATCATGCTGGCCATGTGCGTGCGCCAGTGACCGCGTCACAAGTCGCCAGGGGGACGGTGTCGAGCCGAGTCGAGTCGAATCGAGTCGAGTCGCGTCGCGTCGACTGAAGCTGAGTTGAGTGAAATTGAGTTGTTCATTAACACCAAACAAAGATACGGCCAACAGACGGTGCTGGCCCCGCGCATCATCATGGTTGAGCGCCTCATCCGGTGTTTGGGCAACGCACGCTTTGATGCTTGCCCTAAATTGTTTAACTTGGACATGCCCATATTTGAGGTACGTTATTTAATCGAGCGGCGTATGTTGTGCTGCCCCTGCTACTCCTGCTGCAGCTCCTGCTATTGCTGCTACTGCTCCTGCTACTCCTGCTCCTCTTATTCAAGTTAATTTCCGTTGTGCAAACTACTCTAAGTTTTCAAGTGGGTGTGTGTAGTCGGTTTGATAAATCGTAGAAGGGCATAATCAATGTACGTTCAGATAGTATATGCATTAAATTTAAGTGGTCAATTAAGTTGGATTTGATCTGATATAAGTATATGCCATAGAAGTAGATTGCTTACTAAAAATTGAAAAAATATCTTTAAAATACTTTATGGAGACATATCTCCTCTGCTATAAAAGTGAGCGTTAGTCAAACTCAAAGAACTCTTAGCGGTATAGTATGGAAGAAAGTTCTTATAATATAACCGATTACACTTGACTCTTATTAGTCACGTATTGCTCTTTACTCTTCGGATTCCGCGTTTTTATAACCTGAACTCATTGAAAATGGGAAATCATTATTCCTGGACTCATGCATATCTTCAACATTTCTTAATAATACATAAATAGGGCAGATACAAATTTGATAACTTATAGTATTCTTGACGAATTGATTATGCTTGCAATCCTTCTGATCTTATGTTCGCATCTGAACACAATATATGCCTCATAGCTTATTCGCCCAACAAATTTGAAAAAAAAAAAAAATCTTGAAGAGGTGGTGCCTGTGGTAGATACCCCTTAGTCGTACCCCAAGGTCCTTTGCTATGCCACACAACTTGTTAACCTGTTGCACTGCAAATCAAAGTATACGTACCTTCTATTAGCTAGTCCAATTGAAATCCTATAACTACTTTTCGCCCATCATATTATGTCCATTTCTGTATCCACTTTTCCTTGCCATCCTCTTGGCAATTGGCAATTGTTGGGCATAAACAAATGCTGCAGCAAGGCCAAGTGAAATGTCTTATCGCTTGTCGGAGATTTTACTTTGCTGCTTAAACAATACAATTTTACGAGTGGCCACCCCGCTTTGGCCCCACCCACCACTGGCACTTTATGTTGCCAGCTCAAATCCCGCCCCCTCCCACACACACACACACACTTCGATAATGGCCACTGTAAATCTCGTCCTTTCAACTGCTCGCAATTCTCACAATTCGCACAATGCAATTTTCGATGCGTTTTATCGAATGCTCCTTGTCTGCCAAACGTCATACACATGTCCAACACAAGTGAATATATATATATATATGTGTGTGTGTGTGTGTTGGTTCGAGTTGTTGCTGTTTTGTTGCATACTTTTGTGCACGCTCAACGGCAAATTGAATTTATGCGCTGCAGGCACATTTAAAGCGGAGCAAGGACCGCATTGATTGTATCCTGGTAAGCTATGGAGCTGCCAGGCAATGCCCCTATAGGTTTATTTAAACTTTTTGCTTGCATAGCAATCCTTGTCTGTATGTGCATAAAGAAAGCTGAATATTTAGTTGGCTTTAAATAGTTCCGCATATCATTTGAAATTTACGGATTCTCTGATTGGCGGAATTGGCGGACATTTATTTGTGAACAGGATGGGACGCACTTAAGACTAAACACAGTCGGCAATTGGACCATCGCAGTTACTCCTCCTCCAGCTCGGGCGCCTCCTCCTCGACGACGACCTTTGGCTTCGGCTTGCGCCTGGAGGCGCCACGCACTCGTGCCGGACGCTTGGTGGTCGTTGACTTTGGCTTGGGATTCTCCAGCTCGTCCAGCTCCGCATCGGTTAGACGATCCTTGTACCAATCAGCGCTACATGGGAAAAGCTTGTTACATATCTTCAACACTTGATTGAGTGACCGCAGCGCTTACCAGTCGGGCACCTTGCGAGCCCAGTCGCAGGTCTTGTTCTCATCGTCGAACACCTGGCCCAGCTTGCAGCCGTTGCGACGCGGCACATCTCCGTTCACGCACACATAGAAGAACTGGCAGTCATCAGGATCGGCGTAGCGCGGATGGGTCACGGCAATGCTCTCGTTCACCTTGGGGCACTGGAACTCAAAGATGTCCTCCGACTTGCAGCCAGTCACGCCCACCTCATCGGGCCACGTGCAGATGCCAGTCTTCGGATTGAACACCAAGCCCGCCGGGCAGGTGATCATATTGAACATGCCATCCACACAGAAGTAGAACTTGTCGCAAATGCCGGGCTTCTCGTGGCCAAAGTATCCGTTCTTGCGCGGACAGTGCAGCGATGGCTGGGGAGTCTCTGTTATGTATTATATTAATATGATATATGATAATTTTAATAAACGATTTGGCATATTTAAATAAAACTATATTCATAATTGTTTTGCTCATTGAACTTCTGTTTCTTTTCTTCGTACTTAGAGTTATTATAGTTGGGATAATTATAATATGTAATATTAGTAAAAACGGCTGAAGAAATACTAGTAAATTTAAGTAAAAATAGCTGCACATATAGTTGTAGACTTATTAGTAGAAATAGTAGTATAATTAGTAGCAGAAATATAAGTAAAATAGGGGTAGATACCGTAATAGAAATGTTAGTAGAAAGAGTAGTAGAATGAGTAGTAGAAATAGAAGTAGAAATTGCGGTGGAAATAGTAAAAGCGTTAGAAATAGTGGTAGAAAAAAAATTAGTATAATTAGAAGAAGAAATATCAGGAGAATTAGTAGTGAAAATAGTAGTAGCAATAGCTGTAGAATTAGTAGTAGTAAATAGTTGTATAAATAGTAACAAAATTATTCGTAGAAATAGTAGTAGAATTAGTAGAACAATTAGTAGTTTTATTAAGAGTAGAGTTAGTACTAGAAATAGTAATAGTAGAAAAAGTAGTGGAACTAGTTATTCCGATTATTAGTGTTAGTAGTAGTAGAGTTAGTAGAAGAATGAGTAGTAGAATTAGTAGGAAAGCTAATAATAGGCACATTAGAAGAAAGCATTAGTAGATAGCAATAAGGAGTTAGTAATGAAAATAGTAGTAGAATTAAGAGTATAGTTAGTAGTTAGTGTGGAAATGATAGTAGTAGTAGTAGAATAAGTAGTAGATATAGCTATAGAATAGGTAGTACAATTAGTTGTTGGATTAAGAGTAGAGTTAGTGGTGAAAATAGTAGTAAAAATAGTAGTTGAAGAAATACTTGTAGAAACAATAGTTCTACTAGTACTACTACTTTCTACTTAGTAGTAGAAATAGTAGTAAAATTAGTAGTAGAAATATTAGTAGATTTAGTAGATTAATTAAAAGTAGAGTTAGTAGTAGAAATTTTTGTAGAATTAGTACTTTACTTAAGAGTAGGGTTAGTAATAGAAATTTTAGTAGAATTAGTACTTTAATTAAGAGTAGAGTTAGTATTAGAAATTTTAGTAGAATTATTAGTTGGATTAAAGGTAGAGTTAGTAGTAGAAATAGGAGTGTAGTTGAATACAAAATAGAGTTAGTAGGAGAAATATTAATAGAATTAGTAGTTGGATTAAGAGTTAGTAGTAGAAATAGTAGTAAAAATACCAGTTGAATTAAGAGTAGAGTTAGTAGTAGAAATATTAGTAGAATAAAGAGTACAGTAATTTTACAACTATTTCTACTACTTGTTCTAGTCTATCACTATTTCTACTACCATTTCCACACTAACTGACTTCTTATTCTACTCTTACTTTAACTACTATTTTCACTACTAATTCTACTATTCCACAGCTATATCTACTACCATTTCTACTACTGTATCTTTTAGTAACTCACCTAATAATTTTCCTACTATTTCTACTACTAATTTTACTATTAACTCTATTACTAATTATAAAGATATTTCTACAACTACTAACTCTACATCTATATCTACTACTAATTATACTTTTTCTACTAATATTTCTACTACTATATCTACTAATGATTTTACTAAAACAATATCCACAGTTATTTCTACCACTAACTAATTCTACTACTTTTTCTACTACTATTTCTACTACCTTTTCTTACTAACTAATTACTAACTCTACTTTTAATAAAACTTCCAAATTCTACTATTATTTTCACTACTAATTCTACTACTAATTCCACAGCTATATCTACCAACATTTCTAATACTGTATCTATTAGTTACTCACCTAATAATTTTCCTACTATTTCTACTACTAATTCTACTACTATTTCTA